CAGACGTGCCATTTCACAAAGTATTAATAGATTTTTCCCAGTGTCAGTGATATACACAGAGGTATTTCAGGCATGCCCAATGTCACATCTACAAAGAATAACGTCAAAATGTCCTTGGCTCGGGACTCACATCACAAGGACTATAGTAAAACTAAATTAATTTCACGGTAATTTAGCACCCTTAAAACTGAAAGTGGGAGGAGGCACAGGGGCTTTCAGTCAAGTCCCATTCCCCTGTCTTCCAACTAGAATTTAAAACTGAGAGTTAGTGAAATAGAACCAGTGGGATATAGCTGTGTAAGCTTAGTGGGCATTTTTTCCTAAGTCCACAGGTTGGTCCTGCTTGACGTACCTGAGCAGATTTGTGGACTCTTGAGTCCCTACAACACTGACCCCTTAGGAAGGTCGCTTTTCAGATGAAATAACTGGCTGCAGAGTGGACCTTCTGCAGGTACCAGCCACCAGCTGGCGTGCCCACCCAGGGCCAGAAGGTCCCCACATGCTGCTGGCCTTCAGGATCCAGAAGGCAGGAGGCAACACACCCCCTCCAAGGGCTCAGCCAGCCGTGTGACTTGGGACAAGGATAACACCATGGGGCCCCATGTCCCGATCTGCAAGGAGCAGAAGAGGGGGGCAGAATGCCAGCACCCGCCTTCTACCCTGCCCTCCTCTTCAACTGTTCGTTCATAGATTCATCTGGCAGGGAATTCTTTCTACCACAGTATTTTTTTTTAAATTTATTTATTTATGCATACAAGAACTGGGTACAGGCCAGAGGTGTGAGATTTCACCAGAGACAGAGTAGGGAGCAGAACAAGAAATAGAGCAAAATACACCACTGAGGGGAGAAGCAGGTGAACCAGGAGAGGTCTGCTGCGCCCTGTGGGTCAGCTTCCCGGCCGGGGATGGAACTGGCACTGCAGTGGCTGCAGATAGCTTCACTGTGCTACACTTTAACCTGTTGCACCCCCAGGGAGAGCCCTCTACCACCTTCTTTATGTCACCTTCCCTGGACAGCTGGAAATCCTCTCCAGCCATTTCTGTTGGAAATCTCCGAAGAGGACACACAGGTCCTATGACACCTGTTGTATTTTCCTTAGCTTCGAGATGTGTCTGGGGTGTGTTTTCCAATACTGTGCTTTTCTTCATTTTCCCCAAGTAATTCATTAGTATTTTTCTGTGATTTCATAAATATCCAAATTAATAGTCAAGGCAGCATCCAAATTTAGGGCACTGTTTTGTTGTGTTTTGGGGGGTTTTTTTGTTGTTGTTTTTTTTTTTCCTGCAGGAAATTGGGTTAGTTTTCCCTCTTAACAAAAGCTTGTTTTGCTGGGTTTTTTTTTTAAGATTTATTTATTTTTGCATACAAGAATTGGGGTACAGGCCAGACGGGTGGTGTTGAGGGCCTGAGAGGATTCACCAAAAACAGAGTGGGGAGCAGAAAAGGCAGATCTACTGAAACACACTGCTGAGGGGAGCAGCAGGTGGGTCAGGAGAGGTCTGCTGTACCATGTGGGTCACCTCCCTGGCTAGGGATCGAACTTGTGCTGCAGTGGCTGCTGAGAGCTTCAAAGTGCTGAGACATAACCCCTGCACCACCAGGGAGGGCCCCTTTGCTGGATTTTTAATTTTTATTTGTATAAAAATTAGTCATATAGTTTTTATCTGTTTATAAAATAGAAATGCATACTCCCTGCCAAATCTTAAGAAAATTCTGAAAAGTAGATGTTAGCAAGGACTACCCATCGGTCCTCTTTTGGAAGCAATCTCTCATCCCCTTTGACGGAAATTCCTTTGCCTATGTGTGTGGTGTGACTCATAAGATAGTCTCTCCCTAGAACTCTGCCCTCCTGTGCCTCCCGCGCACCCAGTTCCGGCTCAGCTGACCCTACTTTAAATTTATGACTACCAGCCCCGAGCAAATGCTCAGCCCAGCTTGGCCACAGGGATCCCTTTTGTAGTTGGTTCATTCTTGTGCCTTTTTTTTCTGCCCACCCCTTGCCACTCCCATCCCTGCCCCCAACCTACTCCACCACCCATCCCCATGTCAACAACCTTCCCATGCAAGGGGCTTTCTTACAGCTCTTCCTTACTCTTCTACTTTCTCTTTTTTTAAGATTTATTTATGGGGTACAGGTCAGAGGTGAAGGAGGGGTAAGTGGACTCACCAGAAACAGAGTGGGGAGCAGAACAGGCAGATCGACGATGTACACTGCTGAGGGGAGCAGCGGGCGGGTCAGGAGAGGTCTGCCGCGCCTTGTAGGTCACCTCCCAGGCCGGGGATCCAGCTGGTGCTGCTGTGGCTTCTGAGAACTTCATAGTGTGGTGCTTTAACGGGTTGTGCCACCAGGGAGAGCCCTGTTATTTTCGTTTTTACTTTATTACATTTGTTTCTCTTTGTACCACATCTTTTTAATCCAGTCATCTATTTTTGGGCATTTGGGTTGATCCCACATCTTCCCTATTGTAAATAGAGCAGCAATAAACATGAGGGTGCAGGTGTCCTTTGGAGTCAGTGTTTTTGTGTCCTCTGGGTAGACACCTACGAGTGGGATTGCGGGGTCATATTTTTGCAGCTTGAGAAACCTCCACACAGCTTTCCATAGTGGTTGTACCAGTTTGCATTGCCTCTAGCAGTGTTGGGGAGTTCCTTTCTCTCCACATCCTCGCCAACATTTGTTGTTGCTAGTTGTTTGAAGATGTGCCATTTGCACTGGTGTGAGGTAGTATATCCTCGTGGGTTTTATTTGCATCTCCCTTATTACGAGTGATGTTGAACATTTTTTTCATATGTTTGTTGGCCATCTGCATTTCCTCTTTGGAGAAGTGTCTTTGTAGCTCTTCTGCCCATTTTTGGATGGGGTTGTTTACTTTATTTTTGTTAAGTTTAACCAGCTCTTTATATATCTTTGTGATCAGTCCTTTGTCATTAGTATCGTATACGAATATTTTCTCCCAGTCAGTGGGATGTCTCTTCATTTGGGTAATGTCTCTTTTGCTGTACAGAAGCTCTTCAATTTGATGTAGATCCAGCTGTTTACCCTCTCCTTCACTGTCCTTGCTCTGGGTGATATATCTTTAAAGATAATATTGAGTTATATGTAGTGTAGTGTTTCGCCCACCTTTTCTTCCATATATTTTGTGGTTTCGGGTCTTTTACCTGCTCCTCTCTTTTCAAAGCAAAGGAGGCCTTGGTGGTGGCAAGAAGGAGGGAGTGAGGAGATGATCTGTCATCGTGGTGGGTAGATCTCGTCACTAGAGAATCTGGTGCAGAGAAGCCAAAGGACTCGCTACTGCACAGGAGCAGCTTCTGCGCAGAGGCTACACCGGGCTCCTGCGTACTAGCTGGGCGGTCCAGCCTCACACTCAGGAGCGAGGACAGACGCCAGCAGCAATCCCGGGGCAGCTAGGGGTCCTCTGGAGAGAGGGGATCCCCCATTAGTCCAGCACCGGGGGGCTCCTTTTTCTGCATGTGGTGAAGCTCTCGCCCCTCCGGTCACAAGTCCACGTTGGCAGCAGCGTCAGTCTAGGCCACGGAGGACTCTGCCAGGGCTGTTTTGGGTTGCAGGCCCTTTGGCTTGAGCGTGCTGATCCTCCATTCTGTTTAGAATGCATTGCTAATAAATACTGAGCACAAAAAGGCAAATTTTTTCTTGCAGAATTTCCAATCAAATGTTTTAAGTTTGGAGGGCCTCCCTGGTGGCACAAGGGTCAAGTCTCAGTGCTATCAAGCTATCACCAGCCTCTGCAGTGGGAGTTCAGTCCCCGGCCAGGGAGCTGACCCACAGGGAGCAGCAGACCTCTCCGGTCTCCCTGCTGCTCCCCTCACCAGTGGGTTTCAGTCAGCCTGCCTGTTCTACTCCCTGCTCTGCCTCTGGTGAATCCTCTCAAAAACCCTCTCCCCCATACCTGGCCTATACCCCAGTTCTTGTATGCATAAATAAATAAAATGTTTTTTAAAAAAAATTTTAGGGCCCTCCCTGTTGGCACAGCGGGTTAAAGCACAGCACTGAGAAACTAAAGCCACTTCCCCATAAATTTGATCCCACCTGCCCCGGAGGGGCACATGGTGTGGCAGACCTCTCCTGACCTGCCCGCTGCTCCCCTCAGCAGTGTACTTCGT